TCACAATCTGACTCTCACTGTGACTATCTCATAATTTCTCATGAAATGGTTAAGTGAATGCTGAGTGAGTAAACCTGTAGAAGCTCTGATAAAGGGTGTTGACTTTGAGAAAGTTAAAAAAAATTTTTTTTTTTGTCATTACATAATTCAGTTAGCATTGTAGATGACGGCACCATTATTATAAAATGTGGAAAAACAGTAATAACAAGGAATGAGTAGGTGTGTCCATATTTTTGGGCTGGTATAGTGTATGTCATGTATGCCACCCATGAGTCACATAATGTATATTGGTAGTAATAGCAGTCTTGTTGATTTGAGGCGCTGTATGTATATTTTTGGCAGTTTTTCCTCTCTCTATCAGTCATTTTGCAAGATTTCTCTTTGATTAGCTGCTCTAACAGGTTCCCCTTTCCTGTCTTGGTTTACCCAGTGGGAGGGACCTGCATTCAAGCACACAGTCACACCAACTTTGGCACAAAAACAACTTAATTGCTAGTTTTCAATACACAGCGAATACGTGAACAGAGGTTAGGTAATTGAGGAAACTGTTAAATATTTTCTCAAGATGGTAGGGCATTCCCCCCCCTAACGTTTTATAATTTTTCTCTTGTTTGTTCCTAAATCTGTACATGGAAGTTATGGTAATTGTTGCTGAGGTGCAGCTCACCTTGCACACAGTTACGGATGTGATTTGATAGAAATATGCCTGTGAATCTAAACTGGTCCTTCTGAGGTTTGTTAATACACCATCAACATAACATGCTAATTTGGTCACAAACTCACAGACATGCAAACATTTAAAGTATGTACAAATAAAAACAAGCAGCTGTTTGTTTTATCTATAGAGTGAAGGAATATGGATGGAGGTGAAAATGAGTCTCGAGGTATTTAAGACGATCCTTACTGTGGTTTAAAGAGAAGAATGTCTTGCTTTTTTGGGAGTGAGGTTTGTGGTCACCTCACTGAAGAAACATCTACTATGTGGTTATGCAGCTTCTTTTAGTTACTTGGAATTGTGACACAAGGAGTTATTCAGGACTTGAGATCTTCCTGTGTCTTAGTGTTACAAAGTTGGCTGTAAGAAGTTTAAGTGTATGAGCAGATTAAAATTTAAGATGCACTATCAAATGATAGTAGCAACTTCATTTTTACGATACGTTACTGACAAACCTCTGTTAAATGTACAGTATATATAAATATAAACACACACACACACACACACACATATATACGCTAGTCCATAACTGATTACAAATTACATGATGAAAATTGTAGTTAGTAACATAATCTGGAATACACATATTAGGTAACTTTTGATTACTTTTATATTATTTTAGATTACTTGAAGTAATTTGTTTATCACATGGACTTGAATGTGAATATTGTGCAGCATATTGATAAAAAAACAAAGAGAAAGAAAATAATGAATTATATGGATTAACTCAACATTTTGTGAAAATGTGCTATATGTGTGTTTATACACACACACACACACACACACAGGTTTGTTTTTGTGAAAAGTGGGGACATCCCATAGGCGTAATGGTTTTTATACCAAACTTGTATGTTCATTTCTTTAAAAAATGTTTTATATCTCGCAGTAGTGACTTTATTCTGTATAATTGTGACTTTATATCTCCAAATTCTAACTTTATATTTACTAATCTGTTTTTATATTTCACAATCCCTACTGCATCTCTATATCCCAAAATGTGACTTAAATTATAGGTATGACTTTATAATTCACAATCTGACTCTCACTGTGACTATCTCATAATTTCTCATGAAATGGTTAAGTGAATGCTGAGTGAGTAAACCTGTAGAAGCTCTGATAAAGGGTGTTGACTTTGAGAAAGTTAAAAAAAATTTTTTTTTTTGTCATTACATAATTCAGTTAGCATTGTAGATGACGGCACCATTATTATAAAATGTGGAAAAACAGTAATAACAAGGAATGAGTAGGTGTGTCCATATTTTTGGGCTGGTATAGTGTATGTCATGTATGCCACCCATGAGTCACATAATGTATATTGGTAGTAATAGCAGTCTTGTTGATTTGAGGCGCTGTATGTATATTTTTGGCAGTTTTTCCTCTCTCTATCAGTCATTTTGCAAGATTTCTCTTTGATTAGCTGCTCTAACAGGTTCCCCTTTCCTGTCTTGGTTTACCCAGTGGGAGGGACCTGCATTCAAGCACACAGTCACACCAACTTTGGCACAAAAACAACTTAATTGCTAGTTTTCAATACACAGCGAATACGTGAACAGAGGTTAGGTAATTGAGGAAACTGTTAAATATTTTCTCAAGATGGTAGGGCATTCCCCCCCCTAACGTTTTATAATTTTTCTCTTGTTTGTTCCTAAATCTGTACATGGAAGTTATGGTAATTGTTGCTGAGGTGCAGCTCACCTTGCACACAGTTACGGATGTGATTTGATAGAAATATGCCTGTGAATCTAAACTGGTCCTTCTGAGGTTTGTTAATACACCATCAACATAACATGCTAATTTGGTCACAAACTCACAGACATGCAAACATTTAAAGTATGTACAAATAAAAACAAGCAGCTGTTTGTTTTATCTATAGAGTGAAGGAATATGGATGGAGGTGAAAATGAGTCTCGAGGTATTTAAGACGATCCTTACTGTGGTTTAAAGAGAAGAATGTCTTGCTTTTTTGGGAGTGAGGTTTGTGGTCACCTCACTGAAGAAACATCTACTATGTGGTTATGCAGCTTCTTTTAGTTACTTGGAATTGTGACACAAGGAGTTATTCAGGACTTGAGATCTTCCTGTGTCTTAGTGTTACAAAGTTGGCTGTAAGAAGTTTAAGTGTATGAGCAGATTAAAATTTAAGATGCACTATCAAATGATAGTAGCAACTTCATTTTTACGATACGTTACTGACAAACCTCTGTTAAATGTACAGTATATATAAATATAAACACACACACACACACACACACATATATACGCTAGTCCATAACTGATTACAAATTACATGATGAAAATTGTAGTTAGTAACATAATCTGGAATACACATATTAGGTAACTTTTGATTACTTTTATATTATTTTAGATTACTTGAAGTAATTTGTTTATCACATGGACTTGAATGTGAATATTGTGCAGCATATTGATAAAAAAACAAAGAGAAAGAAAATAATGAATTATATGGATTAACTCAACATTTTGTGAAAATGTGCTATATGTGTGTTTATACACACACACACACACACACACAGGTTTGTTTTTGTGAAAAGTGGGGACATCCCATAGGCGTAATGGTTTTTATACTGTACAGACAGTATAGTCTATTGCCCTACACCAACCCTACCCCTTACAGGAAACTTTGTGCGATTTCAGATTGTCAATACACTCCATTCTGTGTGATTTATAAGTGTTTTGAAAAGTGTGGACATGGGGTAATGTCCTGAAAAGTCACCTTCTCCTTGTAATACCTATGTCATACCTTTGTCATTATACAAATGTATGTCCTAATTTGTCACAAAAACGCACACACACACACACTATATTCAGATGCAAAAACCTCTAAGTCCATCAGAGACTTTTTTCTTTTAAATGAGATTAAAATATAAAACAATGTATATAAACATTTATAAAAATTGCAAGTTCTATACTGAATAACTTTTTAAGTCTCAACATTTAGTGAAAATATACTAGAAAACAAACAGCTAAAAAAAACTCACAGTTCTTCTAGGCATTGATGTGAAATACGTTGAGATAAAGATGGAGACATCTGTGGGAGGGATGTTGAAGTGATGGAGGGAGGGAGAGGGAGAGGGAGGAGAGGGACAGAGTGTATGTTCAACTCTCTCCTTCATTCATTTTCCTCCAGTCCGTGACTGACGTGACTTACGTGTGGCTGCCAGGTGAGTGAAATTTGACTTTTAACTCTTTGGTGTATCTGCTTGGGTTCCTAATGATGTTCTTAAATGTGCTTTCTATCTCTCTCCTTCTCTTCTATTGCATGCTTTGTCATAATAGGTTTTATCTATTGGTTTATGAATAACTACTGGGATGAGGGGAAATATGTTATATACAATTATATTTGGATACTTATATAATCATGTTGCTATTCATGCACACAAACAGTATACCCTAGTTTTTCCTAATTCATTTTTTTTGTCCTATTATTATATGTTTCCTGTTATCATACCTCTACTAAACTTTTCTTCCATCCATCACATGCTGTAATGCAATATGCACAAATCTGTTGGGTGAACCTCACAGAAACCTGTTAAGACCATGTCTGAGTCATATAAATAAAACCAGAATTTAATATTTCATTTCATTTCATTTATAGTGTAGGTAAAGTATTGTATTAAAGTAATACAAAAAAGTCCCAATGATCTTCAAATAGACTTAATTGTTATTATAAATGTTGTTGTATTATAAATAAATATTATAATATAAATATTGTATAATATGTGACCCTGGACCACAAAACCAGTCATAAGGGTCAGTGTTTTGAAATTGAGATTTATAAGCTGAATAAATAAATAGCTGAATAAGGGTTTGATTGATGTATGGTTTGTTACGATAGGACAATATTCGGCAGAGATACAACTATTTGAATATCTGGAATCTGATGGTGCAAAAAAATCTAAATACTGAGAAAATCGCCTGGACCCTGTTAGACTTCTTTCCAACTGTATCTTTTTAATGGAGCTATTTAATGTTCTGCTCATTAAAAAAGTTTAAAAAAAAAAATATTTTCTTCAAAAAGTATTTTTGCTAAATATGTTCAGATAAAGACTCCAGTCATATCAGCAGCTTAATAAAAGCTTTTTAAAAAGCTACCCCATTACCCCATGGAGGCTGCCATTTTGCGATCACATGGCCAGCCAAATACCACTCAATTTATCTTTGTAACCCACACAGTGCAACTTAAGTACTTTTAATTTCATTTTGTAGTTAATTTAGTAACAATGGCCACTGTTGTTTTGTATTCCAGAAGCCTCACCTGTGTGCAATCATGATTCGGGTCATCTGTCCCACTTGTGTTCTTCTCTTTGCGCTCCTCTTTGTGTGCATGAACGCACGTCCCGACTCACCAGGCCGATCAAGGCGTGCTCCTGCTGCCAAAGTGCGACTGGCAGGTATCAGCCACAGAGAAAATGAGGGACGAGTTGAAGTCCTGCACAACGGGACGTGGGGCACCGTATGCGATGATGAGGTCGACATTAAACTCGCTAATGTGGTTTGCAGGGAACTGGGTTTCCAAAGTGGCATAACATGGGCGCACAGTGCCAAGTATGGAGAAGGAGAAGGTGAGTGAATGTCTGTTAAAATACATAAACTGTGATTTCTGAATCACCCAAAAATGAACATTCTGTCATTTTTTACTCATGTTGTTCCAAACCTGTATGACTTACTTTCTTTGGTAGATGTTTAGCAGAATGTCTGTGCTGCTCTTTCCCATAAATAAAAATGAATGGTAACCAATGGCCATCGAGCGCCAAAAGCGAGTTTTTTAGTGAACTGTCCCTTTATGTATTTTAAAAAGTTGCTGTCTGAATAGCTGAGGTTTAAGAGTTTTAATCTCTGTTATTTTCACATTTAACTGTGGATTATGTGAAAGACTTGAGCACAATTGTGTATGAAGGCTGTATTAAATAGCTGTTTCTCACTAGTGCAAGTGCACAGAGCTACTGTTCTTTACATCACCTAAATCGCTCCCTGTAATTTCACTTTAAGGCAGCTATAAAGACAGCCACTAACCCGTAGCATGTATAACACTTAGTTGGCAAGACAACACTGTCATTAAAACTATAACAAACCCTTGAGACAGTTTCACCAGAGCTTTTTTGTAATGCTTTTGATGGTGATGCTTCTGTCCCATATTAACTTGTATTGTGCACATGGAGTCTGCAGACTTCAAATGTATACCTTTTGCATTATGTACCATTTCTTAAAAAATGTGCTTTTATGACATTTATGGAGCTATTTTTAGCGGCTTGTTCAAATTCTGTCATTATTTGCTCATCCTCATGTCGTGTAGTAGAACACAAAATAAGTTTTAATACTGATTGCTGTTTTAAAAAAAAATTCAGTTACAGTGATTTGAGACTGAATATTTTAAACTTAAAAAATGAAACTAAAGTACCATACAAGTATTATAAAATTGATCAATGTAACGTGTGCTGTTTTCCAAGTCTTCCAAACCCATTCAATAACTTTACTGTATTTGATTAACAGACCAAACTGTAAGTCATTGGTAATCTTCTCCTCAAATTTTTAAAAGAATAGTTCACCCTCAGGTCATCCAAGATTTGGAGAAATTTAGCATTACATCACTTGCTCACCAATGGATCAGAGAATGTGTCCAGTCCATCAATTAACGTCTTGTGAAGTGAAAAGCTGCAAGTTTGTAATAAACAAATCGATCATTAAGAGGTTGTTAACTTCAAACCATTGCTTCAGACGAAAATGTAAGTCCTCTATCCATAATATTGCTTTCTCTATAGTGAAAAATCTTGTCATTTGTCTAAATCAGAATAGAAATATACACTAATCGCATTCTGTTTACAAGTGAAAACAGTCCAAAACGGTTGGTGGATTTTGATGTGAGAGGACAACAGGGGACAGACTTTTTCACTGGAGGAAGCATTTTCATAGATTATGGATTGATGCCTTTATGATGGATTTGTTTCTTACAAACATGCAGCTTTACACATCACAAGACATTAATTGATGGACTGGAGTCATGTGGGTTACTTGTGGATTATTGTGATGTTTTTATCAGCTGTTTGGACTCTCATTCTGACGGCACCCATTCACTGCAGAGGATCCATTGGGGAGCAAGTGATATAATGCTTAATTTCTTAAAATATGTTCCATTAAATAAGCAGACATATCTACAAATTGCATGGCCTGAGAGTGAAATAAATTAATTTTGGGGTGAACAGTTGCTTTATACAACTCAAGAACCTGATCAGTCTGAAAGTCATTGAGATTTGGAACGACACGAGAGTGAGTAAATGATGACAGAATTTTCATTTTTGGGGTGAACTATCCCTTTAAGATCCAAAACTGATGTTTTTATTGTTCCACTGCTTTTGTAACCTGTAACATCTGTCACAGGCCCTATTTGGATGGATAATGTGAGGTGTGAAGGAACGGAGAAAACTCTGAAAGACTGCAAGTCGAATGGGTGGGGTGTTCATGACTGCAAACACTCTGAGGATCTCGGGGTGATCTGTAGTCCAGAGAGAAGGCTAGACCAAGTGCATCCTGGAGTCACCAGAAGAGGGCACACCATCGCTCTCAGACCAAACACAGTCACCTCGAACCGTTGGCAGGACATTTACTCCAGTTCAAGGACACCTGCACATCTCAGACAGGGCAATGGACATTCCCAGGATCATACCAGATGGGATCAATTCTCCAGACAGCAGTTTCATAATCCGGTAAACAGAGATTGCAGTAGAGCTGAAATTCTTTTAATACATACATAATACATCTCATCTACATTTTCTTTAAATTTAGATTCATTAAAAATTTATTTCTACTGTGTACTAAACAATGGCAGATTTTTTCATTTTTGGGTGAACAATTCCAGTCACAGGTTATGCTCATGAGAAAATGTTTTCAAACTTCCTCTAGTCTGCCAGTAGGGTGAGGATCGAAGAAGTCCGTCTCAAGCCGATCTTGATGGTTGCAAAGAAGCACGCCCTTGTTACGGAGGGTGTGGTGGAAGTAAAGCATGCTGGGAGATGGAGACAGGTGTGTGATAAAGGCTGGAGTCTGAACAGCAGCAGAGTTGTGTGTGGGATGCTTGGCTTTCCTGATGCGGAGCAGCCCAACATGAACACCTACAAGTGAGTCCTATGCTTCTAATGAAAAATACAACATGAGCACTGGCATTAGTCTCTGAGGTTTTGGAGAGAATTAGTATTATATTAAAACCTAACATTTTACACTAATTCACTGTTATTGGCTGATGTCAGTTTTGTTTAATTTCATTGTGTTAGTACAGGGCCTCCCAGAGTTTTAACTAACAACATAAAATCCAGTCCAGACTGCAGCTGATTCTGGCCAAAAACTGCCCACTTGGACAGGAAACGACTGTCTGGCTGGCATGTAGCAGAACAGTAGCAACCAGCTACAGTTTTATTTTTACATGCTGTTTATATAAGGTTAAATACAGGTACTGTAAATGTGGGTTAAATGCTACTGTTCAAAAAATTTGGATTTTTAAGATTTTTAAAATATTTTTGAAAGAACATGCTCAAAAAAAGTCTCTTATGCTTACTAAAGCTATATTTATTTGATAAAAAACATAGTAAAAACAGCGATATTGTGAAATATTTTTGCAATTTAAAATAGCTGTTTTCTATTTTAATATTTTTAAAATTTTAATTTATTCCTGTGATGGCAAAGTTGAATTTTCAGCAGACATTTACTCCAAACTTCAGTGTCATATGATCCTTCAGAATCCTGTCTATATATTTTTTCTTTTTCTTTCTGTTTTGGATTTGCTATGTTTGTTGGACCACACAGGGTGTAGTGATGATGATATTCTAGACAAAGTTCATGTCTAAGCACTGGAAGATGTTTGTCCCTGCATATAGTGGAAAGTAAAAGATCCAACACCTCTTTTGGTTGGAATAGCACATCTGTTATCCTTATCTCCATGCAGGCACCATTCACAAACCTAAACACTTAACCAATGATTAAAAGATCTTTCAAACCTACTGATGCTATCTGGACCTCGGTGTTCCTGAAATGAACAGTCTGTTCAGAACTCTAAGTGAGAAGTCTAATATCCCTTCTGATTGTTATTGGGAAGGGACATCAGTTTAAAGCCTTCAAAGTGTCTGTTGTTGGAAGAAGAGTTTCAGGTTTGTTTAAGGATTTTATTGACCTTGCCACCCTTGACTTTCTCCTGCCTCCTCACAGAATTTTTCCCTGAACAGTGTTTCCAACCAACCTGTACTGTCACAGTGTTGTCTCACTTGGTCAGCTCTTTTATTTATGTAAAGAGCAATTTATTGTTGGGAGTTTCTGAACTTTAGCTATTGTTATTAAAAAGGCATTTATGCAGATTGTGTTCTGTGCTTTCAGAGCTCTATCTTTGTAATGTGTTTGTGCATAACGGCTATGGTGCTGTGAATGCAAGCCTACTGGAGCTTGATGCCTATAGATTCTTCTTGCGGTGTTGCATAGACAGGATACAGGATATGTGCCTACGTCCCTACTAATTTTCTTACCTACATACCCACCTAAATCGTTTTTTTTTTTTACATTTCCACTTACCTGTACCTGCCTATCTTTTTACCTACCTAACTAATCTAACAATCAGCTCTACCTAGTTACCTATCTAACTACAGGATCTACCTATCTTTCTACCTAGCTACCTATCTTTTTACTATTATGCCTACTGTATGTACCCACTTAGTTAGCTACCTCCCTATCTACCTGTTTTTTTACCTTTCCACTTACCTACCTACCGACCTGCATATCGTTTTAACTTTAACTTTACCTACCTACCAACCTGCTCTTTTTGCCTACCCTAACTATTTGCCTAACTATCTACAAACCCAATTCCAAAAAAGTTGAGACACTGTACACGAAAAAGAAGAGGGGATGCCACACAGTGGTAAACATGGCCTTGTCCCAACTTTTTTGAGATGTATTGATGCCATGAAATTTAAAATCAACTTATTTTTCCCTTAAAATGATACATTTTCTCAGTTTAAACATTTGATATGTCACCTATGTTGTATTCTGAATAAAATATTGAAATTTGAAACTTCCACATCATTGCATTCTGTTTTTATTCACAATTTGTACAGTGTCCCAACTTCTTTGGAATCGGGTTTGTAATAATCTGCCTCCCTTACCAGCCTATCTACAGAATCTAGGAGAAACCCTTACTTATTTTCTTCTTCTACTACCTACCATTTACAAACCTACTTATCTACCTACCCACCTACTTAGTTAACTATCTGTCTACCCATTTACCTACTTGCCTACCTATTACCTGCTTACATATGTTTGCTTATGTATCTGCCTGCTAGCTAGTTTTACCTTCTACCTTGCTACAAGCTAATTATCTATATCTATATCTTATCACATATCTATTTTCCTACTTACCTACCTCTGTTTATTTCTATCTACCTAGCTACTTTGGGGAAGTCGTGGCCTAATGGTTAGAGAGTCGGACTCGTAACCCAAAGGTTGCGGGTTCGTGTCTCGTACCGGCAGGGATTGTAGGTGGGGGGAGTGAATGTGCTCTCTTCAGTGCTCTCTTCCACCTTCAATACCACAACTGAGGCACCGAACCCCCAACTGCTCCCCTGGCGCCGCAGCATAAATGGCTGCCCACTGCTCCGGGTGTATGTTCACGGTGTGTGTTCACTGCTGTGTGTGTGCACTTTGAATGGGTTAAATGCAGAGCACTAATTCCAAGTATGGGTCACCACTTTACTGATCTGTCTACTTGCCTATCTACTTACCTATCTACCTACAATACTGTAGCACATTTTTATTTCATGAACATGAAACCAGCCCTGAACAGGTTCTCTTGGGATGTTTGCTTATGTATCTGCCTGCTAGCTAGTTTTACCTTCTACCTTGCTACAAGCTAATTATCTATATCTATATCTTATCACATATCTATTTTCCTACTTACCTACCTCTGTTTATTTCTATCTACCTAGCTACTTTGGGGAAGTCGTGGCCTAATGGTTAGAGAGTCGGACTCGTAACCCAAAGGTTGCGGGTTCGTGTCTCGTACCGGCAGGGATTGTAGGTGGGGGGAGTGAATGTGCTCTCTTCAGTGCTCTCTTCCACCTTCAATACCACAACTGAGGCACCGAACCCCCAACTGCTCCCCTGGCGCCGCAGCATAAATGGCTGCCCACTGCTCCGGGTGTGTGTTCACGGTGTGTGTTCACGGTGTGTGTTCACTGCACATTTTTATTTCATGAACATGAAACCAGCCCTGAACAGGTTCTCTTGGGTTAGTTAATAATTTGTTTTAAAATAGGTTGCCTAATTGAATAACCTTACTACCTGCTTTTCGCTTTCATTTGTTATTTCTTTTTATTGTTGCCTCACTTTTTAATTCTCTTATAGGAGGCCGCTGTGGTTCAGAGGCATTTTTGAGTAACCACATTCACAGCACAACTATTTCATTCCCATCGTCTGAATGGGCTTTGGCCATGCTGGCATGATGACCCATGTGCTCGTTATAAAAAGCACCACCTTAATCTTATGGGTCTGAGGTCCCCAGCTTTTTTAGTCGTAGGTTTGTGCTGGGGCATTGTAAGTGTCGTACATGCTTTCTGCTGATGATTCCTCTATGATCTGTGTCTGCTGTAGCAGAATGTTATGTCCTGATAAATATGCTTGAGCAATTTTCACTTTTTTGTGCTCTTAAAAAATTCTTACCCAGCAGATAAGACCGTTGACAGGTTAATGCTATCTTTTTTTTAGGCTTAGTGCCCTTTTCTTTGAGAATCCTAATCTTAAGGTCACAGGAACACCTAAGTGAGCTTTTGTTTATGCATGACTCAAAGACATGCCGCAAACAGCAACTTGGAGATGCAGTTTGAACTTAAATTAGAGGTTATAGAGCTAGCTGTGGCTTTCGTGACTTACATCCTAGGGAATCTCGATTTGACTCCTTCTCGTCTGTGAGCATGCCCAGCACCTGACCTCACCATGTCGTACGTGCATTTTGTTAAGTCTCCACAGAGCACCAGACTTGGCAGTAGCGATCCCTCACGCACCCACTCAGTGTCTCGGAGAATCGTGAGCCGGCCCGCCCTGACACTGCCTCTTCTGGATCCTCCGCTGAAGATGCTGTAATTAAATATTGGGCCACTCAGAAGATTTCCACGTTTCTGGCGAGTAAGGGAAAGACAATTATAGCTGCGGCCTTTGGCTGCTGTGTCAGCAGGACATACTCTGTCTGTGTCAATTGAGGAAATTGAAAGACTTAAGCCACAGTTCAGCCTCAGAGATCCTTAGATGAGCATCTAAAGAAATGAAATACAATATTTTAATGAGTCTGATTCTGTCCTTTCAGTCTAAAGCAGTGCCCCAGTCAGACTGTGCACAGAAAGAAAAATCACCTTCTGTATTTATGAAGTTTGTACTGTTATATTTGACTCTGTGTCATTTAATAGCAGGCTTTAAACTTTCAGGCCATTCATTGAGTATCACATTTAGGGGTCAAACACCATAATCAGCAAAATATGTTCAAGTTTAGGGCACTGGCATTCAGTGGAGTAGTGTGAGAGATTTTTATTGTATTGTATTATATCTCATATATTGTACAGGGTGAGACAATATAATTTTTCTTCTGATCAAACGCGATGGCCAAATATATGATCAGCAAACAAAACACCAAATAATTGCTAAGGCTATTTATGTATCCTAAATTTTCATACTTTTTACAGAATTTTGCAAAAAATTAACCAAAATCACCTTTGTGTTTTTCACACATCATGAGTCTCAGAATCTCAAACATACTTTTTACTGACACTGTTGTCTCAAGTCCATAACTATTAAATAAAACTGTAAGACGACTCTTTTTTTATATAGTGTAAATATTTTTAAATAAAAATAAATAAAAGTGCCTGTTGAAAGTTTTTAAAAAGTTAAAAAAAAGAAAACTTGCATCGTTAATATTGTATTATGTAATGTCTATTGAGATTGGTCCTTCTTCTGTGAGATATTTAGTATATATTCACACTATATCACAGATTAAAGTGCCCAATTGCTTAATAAATGCTTAAACAGCATGTTTCGTAAGATGTACTGAGAGAGAAAGACTTGTGTGTGTATGCGTATAGACTAATGCTTAAAACAGTGGCATGATTGTTGTCTCCAAACAGACCAACCCTCTCTATCATTAAGTTTTCTTGGTTCAGCAGTAAACCAAGGGTGGAACTAATTACATGAGCAGGTGGGTATTTCAGTGCCAGCAACTGTAAGAACAAATTAAAAAACAGACTGTTATTGTTTAAAGTATCTCTTCACGTTCAGAGTGGCACATTTGATATATAAATGTGCAACTTGATTTATAAATTAAGAATAAAAATAATTAAACTTATTCTATATATCAAATACATTTTTTTGTTTATTTATTGGCATTAATAATAACTTTAAGCAAGGGTGTAGGTTTGATTTTGGCATGGGGACATAATGGCAGACAACAGACATTTAATTGTTTGATCAAAAGTATTGCTAGAGACAGTTTAGTAGTTGCTGGATATTGGTTGGGACATGTCATAATGTCCCTACTAAATGAAGATGTCAAACAACAGATTAATGAGTTACTCCAAATTTCACAAAAAATGTTTATGGACATTATATACTCTTCTGATGAAGATGTCATTCACTTGTTTGTCAATGTACCAACGCAGAGAAGATTTTTTGGTCAGATTTTTTAAAATGTTCATCCAATCTCATTTTGGAAGTGACGTTTCTTTGGTTTGTTTGACTACTCAAAAAGGGAATGTGAGTGTTTCCTGCTAGCTAAATTTCACATAACATAAACACAAGTGGGTATTTCAGTGCCAGCAACTGTAAGAACAAATTAAAAAACAGACTGTTATTGTTTAAAGTATCTCTTCACGTTCAGAGTGGCACATTTGATATATAAATGTGCAACTTGATTTATAAATTAAGAATAAAAATAATTAAACTTATTCTATATATCAAATACATTTTTTTGTTTATTTATTGGCATTAATAATAACTTTAAGCAAGGGTGTAGGTTTGATTTTGGCATGGGGACATAACGGCAGACAACAGACATTTAATTGTTTGATCAAAAGTATTGCTAGAGACAGTTTAGTAGTTGCTGGATATTGGTTGGGACATGTCATAATGTCCCTACTAAATGAAGATGTCAAACAACAGATTAATGAGTTACTCCAAATTTCACAAAAAATGTTTATGGACATTATTATTATATAAGTTGGACATTAAAGTGAGTTGCTGTTTTTGTCACTCTTCTGATGAAGATGTCATTCACTTGTTTGTCAATGTACCAACGCAGAGAAGATTTTTTGGTCAGATTTTTTAAAATGTTCATCCAATCTCATTTTGGAAGTGGCGTTTCTTTGGTTTGTTTGACTACTCAAAAAGGGAATGTGAGTGTTTCCTGCTAGCTAAATTTCACATAACATAAACACAAATCTGGCTCTAAAAAAACACACAATATATATTTACTATATATTTTTAAATGTTTGTATTTTATCAGAATAACAAATTTGTCCCCAATGATCATCATTACATTTTAATGGGTAATACTGAATAGATAACTTAAAGTAGAATAAGAAAACACACAAAAAAACTATATAATTACCATAATAACATTTGACCCTCATTATGCTGTTATTGGAATTAAAATATCATGCTTTCAAAAAAGCTTTAAAGAAAATATAATGTTCTTGGCACAAAACATGCCAGTATAAACTATAAATAATATGGTGAGGCACAATGATTTTTGCCTTTTTGCGCTGATCTTCAACCCTATAATGTTCATCCCTGATGTTTTGAATGTAACAGAACTGGCATAGACACTATCTCTAATACTTTTATTCAGCAAGGGTGCATTAAATTGATCAAAAGGGACAGTAAAAACTTTTAAATTGTTACAAAAAATTTCTGTTTCAAATAAAGCTGCTCTTTTAAGCTTTATATTCATCAAATAATCTTGAAAAAATGTATCATGGTTTCCACAAAGTTCAACATTGATGACAATATTAAGAAATGTTTCATGGGCACCAAATCAGCACCTTAGTATGATTTTCGAAGGATCATGTGACGCTGAAGACTAGAGTAATAATGCTGAAAATTCAGCTTTTCCACATTATTAAATTACATTTTAAAATATATTAAAGTGGAAAACACTGTTATGGGGTTAAACTAATGTAGGCTTAGTATTTTGCAAAGCTGTAACCACATATTTAGGGTTGGGGCTAATATTACATTAGAATCAACCTATTAAAAAACATATTTGTTGACCACTAATCTGAAGATTGGGGAAGGTCTGTTGTGGTTATAACCCTGGTGCTTTGGTCCTGAGATGGAAAAATATGATTTCTTGAAAGTAACCTTGTCAGTCTTTTTTCTCCTCTCATAGCTGTCAGTGCGTCTGAAGGCCGGACCACATCTGGGAGAAGGAAGAGTCGAGGTTCTCCATGAGGGAAAGTGGGGAACTGTGGTTGACCACCGGTGGGACCGGATCTCAGCCAGTGTGGTGTGCAGAGAGCTGGGCTTTGGCACTGCCAAAGAGGCTCTTACCGGAGCATACATGGGTCAAGGTGAGAATTAGTTTAAGCTTGAAGGATCCCAGTAGGATCAACACGAGGGCAAGTAAAATATAGAATTGTCATTTTTGATTACCTGTTCCTTTAATCTGCTTTGAGTCAATATGGTGTTTATAGGACGAAGGTGATTCAGAACTATGAACATGATTATGATCATACTGAGTCTGCCACACGATTCCACAGTAGTCTGAGTCTGAGTTTAATTTGTAAGCTCTGCTCATCTGTGGGATACGCCTGTTTGCAGCTGAATATGAAAGCAGTCAGATTATGTTTTACATTATGCGATATCACACTCTTCAGGACAGGTGCAAAACATGAATTCAAAGTCAGTGATGATGCTTTAAACCAAGGAGATTTCCCTGAACTTTCAGTGGCTCAGATCCACACTGCATGTGAGTTTACTTTGGCTGAGTGAGACAAAGCACACTGGAGATCTGTATTCCAAGAGGCATCGGTCCACTCTGACAAGATGGGATAATTGCTCTGCCAAAGAGAAGTGATGACAGTAGCTATTTATTGAAGACTTCCCAATATCACTTTGATGAAAAACGGAGCTGCAATGTTGTTTAAAGAAAGGAAGTGAAAAGAGGTTTGACTCATAGGTGATGTTTTATCAGGTGCCACCGTTCAAAGAAGTGAAAGATTGAAATGTTGATTTATGGATAATGATGATTTTAGGTTTTTCTGTTATTTTGAAATATAAGCTTTATTACACCAGTAGTGACCCATATGAGAGTCCAGACACTTGAAATGAACCTTTGTAAGGTTGACGCATTCAATAATCCAGTCATGGTCTCAGTTTAACATTCATCAAGTGTCAAATATTGTAAATGCAAACAGGCTTTGATGTGTTACTTGCCTGTTGGCTGATAATTTTATTAGAAATGACACTTTTAAAATTCAGTTTAAAGCAACCAGAGTACCTGTTATTTTGAACAACTTTTAAAGGGATAGTACACCCAAAAAATTTAAATTACCCCATGATTTACTCACCTTCAAGCCATCCTAGGTGTATATGACTTTCTTCTTTCAGACGAATACAATCAGAGTTAATTAAAAAAAATGTCCTAGCTCTTCTGAGCTTATAATGGCAGTGAATGGTTGTCGAAATTTTGAAGCCCAAAAAATCTATCCATGGTAAAATGTGCTCCACACGGCTCCGGGGGGTTAATAAAGGTCTTCTGAAGCTAGAAAAATATCCATATTTAAAACATTATAAACTGTAATCTCTAGCTTCCGCTAACTGTCATATACGCGTTCACGAGAGAGTGGCATTCCAGCGGATGACGTAGGACATAAGCGTGACTCCACTTGCTGATTTTTTAATTCAGCCATTTGGATGTAGAAGTAGCAGGAATAGAGATCAAAGCTTATGGTTTCTGTACATCCGTAGCGTTGAGGTCTTTAGGCATATTCATTGATGTGTATAATTTTCCTAGTGCAGCTGAGGCCACAAAAACATATAGTGAGTGAAAAGAGACACAAATTAGCGTTTCAATGACAGAACAGAGCTGGACTGTTTGGGACAGGCGGTAAAAATAGGAAATCTGTTGAGATGGGTTACATGCACCAGACTGTGGTAACCACATTTAGAAATGATCCTGAATAATGGTGTTGGTATAGTGTACATTGCACTGCCTGATTTTCCAGACATTTAATATAACATAAAGTGATAGTTCATCCAAAACTGAAACCTCACGTCATTCCAAACCTGCTTTCTTTCTTCTGTGGAACATAAAATAATATTTTTTGAAGAAAGTTGGAGTCCAAACAATATGGACACCAATGGACTTTCATTTAAAAGAAAAATGTTTTTCAAAATACCTCATTTTATGTTCCACAGAAGAAAAAAAGTCATACAGTTTTGAAAATATCTGACAATTCTGTCATTATTTACTCTCAATTATGGATCATGAACTATCCCTTTAATGTGCTTAGTGGTGGAAACTAGAAGATGGATTGTCATTGTGACTGTATTGTGGAGCACATTCTCTCAGTGGATTTTTTTCCCCAAAAATGGTTTTATCCAGTTTGATCATGGAGTTAGCATGAACTGTACATGATAAAGTAGATATTTTAAAGCCAATTCAGCATGAAGCAATGCATTCTGTTGAGATGTTCTGATGCCTTACCTCCCAGTAAGATGAAAGTAAACCTATCTTCCCTGAAGTTCCAAGATGATTTAATGTCTTGAGATTTGTTTGAATGCTGTATTAGCTGATTTTACTTCAGTTAGACACTATAGGTGAGGAATTTCAAGTCACATTCACACTTTGCAGGCAAAACGTATAAGCATATAAACTTTATTTTTGTATGCAAAACACACTGAGTTTTTTTTCCTCTGGCTTCGAACTGATGCTGACATTGCACTTGGCTGAGAGAAATATTTCTTATATAGCAACTTAATCTGCTCCTAAAATAGGGATTATAGTCATCTCATGAAAGGAAAGCACCATAAATGCGGAATATATATGTTTTATTTTAAGGAGAAAAAAAATTTCAAAAGAAAAAATATTTGTATTTTAGGGAGAAAAATATTTTCCATAAACCACACTCTAGTGAAACTGTTCACTGGAGTCGGTCACAGAACCACTCCCTTTCCCTCAGCCACTTCTGGACTACTTAGTCTTTGGTTCTATTTTTCTGTTATTTACTTGCCTTTTTGAGCATACGCTGTTTTTTATTTATACTAAGATTTATATTTAAGATTTAAATTTTTTTCAGCTAAAATGCATTATTTGATCAAAAGTGACAGTAAGCACTATAAAAATATGACAGTAAACACTAACATTTATAATTATTTTTTCTTTCAGTGAGTCTTAAAGGAACACTCCACTATTTTTGAAAATAGGCTCATTTTCCAACTCCCCTAGAGTTAAACAGTTGAGTTTTACTGTTTTTGAATCCATTCAGCCGATCTCCGAGTCTGGCGGTAGCACTTTTAGCTGTAGCTTAGCATAGATCATTGAATCTGATTAGACCGTTAGCATCTCGCTCAAAAAATTACCAAAGAGTTTCTATATTTTTCCTTCTGTAGTTACATTGTGTACTAAGACCGACGGAAAATTAAAAGTTGCGATTTTCTAGCACAGGGAGCATGCTGAGAACTATTTTCAGGCGTAATATCATTGTTACTGAAACCACGCCGCCTTTCTTTGCATGCACATTTGGGCCACATTATGCGAATATTTCCACATACTGAGGTAGATATGTGGGGGCGTGTTAGAACGAGCCGTTTTAGGGGCGCGTGGCAGTCTTAACTTTGATAAAGAATATCTCTTTGGTTTTGAGACTTTAGTCTTTGCAACTTCAGGGATCTTATCTATGCACAATCAGCTTGTAACACTCCAAAGAGAAAGGAAAACTTGAAATCGCATCATATGACCCCTTTAACTTTAATGTTCGACCCCTTATCTTTGATGACATCCTAGATTATATGTAATATTCTCTTTGATAGAACATTTCCATATTAACCCTAAGGGTTTTATCTCTAGCAATTTGCTTCCCTGAAGTGAGGCCGAATAGGGTGCTGTGTTTGCTTTTGTGGTTTGTTATTTTTGTTTCAAAACTAAACAGCTGGTCATAATTTCTTTGCTTTGGTAGAAATAGGACTTTTTGAACTTAGCCGAGTACATTGCAGTAGCACATAACCACTGTTTTTTCCACAGCAGTTCATGCAGCTTTCTGTTTCATTTACCCAGAATTTCCCCAGCATGTTTTTCTGAGATGGGGAAAAACTATATAATTACTCTCATACTAATGTTGCTGTGGTATATTTATGCAGTGTAGTGGATTTCACATTCTTGTGAGATTCAAAACTGAAGTTTTAGCACAATGCTCACGTTAGGCTCTGATTTAGCGGCCACCTCAGGCTAAAACGACCAATGTTTTTATATCACAGTAAACAAGATGGAAATGAACTGTGACATCTGATATGCAGTCAAGCTCTTTTATATCCATAGAACTTCAAGAATGTGATCATAATGATTTCACAAAATAAACGCACACCTCTGAATCTGAACAGACTCATGTGTGGTCTTCTGGTGAATGATGAGGAATTCTGCTTTAACACTAAACTCTCAGAAAAAAAGAGAGCAGTCACTGGGGTGAAGAAACAAAAGCTTACATCTTTGGAACACATTAACCCCTAAATGGTACATTTCAATATTTTAGTATATTAGGAGTGCTGAGTCATAACTGATTACATGCATTATGGATTATGTAATCAGATTCCAAAAATGAAGTACTTGTAATTAGATTATATTACATATAAATGCTTAATTTGTATGAATACTCAGATTACAGTTACTTTTTTTTTATAGATTACGTTATTACATATAATTAACACAATAGCAGTAAATTATTCATAATTTGATTTGCCCTAATTCTTCTCTCTCTCTTAAATTTTCTTTTCTAAAATTGATTACATGCATTATGGATTATGTAATCAGATTCCAAAAATGAAGTACTTGTAATTAGATTATATTACATATAAATGCTTAATTTGTATGAATACTCAGATTACAGTTACTTTTTTTTATAGATTACGTTATTACATATAATTAACACAATAGCAGTAAATTATTCATAATTTGATTTGCCCTAATTCTTCTCTCTCTCTTCTGCTTTTATACATTTGGAAAGACTTCTAGCGTTTCATCATCTCACTGTAAACCCCCTGTAATTCATTCATAAACCCCAGTTTGGGAAACCCTGGCATAATGTAATGTTTAATACACTTCACAATGTTGATAACAAAGAATGGAATATATTTTAGGTCAAAAAATGAATCTAAAAGTAATCAAAAAGTAGTCCGAATACATTGCCTAATGTGTGTAATCCAATAGACAATACAAGCTATCATTTATGTAATGTAATTTGTAATCAGTAATGGACTACCATTTGTAAGTAATATAACCAGCACTACATATTAGGACCTTAGCACCAGAAGTATACATATTAGTACTATTTGAAAGGTACCGCACCAATGACAGTTTTGTACCCTTTATCTGAGAGTGTTCATATAATTTAAAATGTTCCATAATGATAAATTATTAAATTACACAGTAATGTGATTGAGTTATGGAGTGGAAACAGACAGATCCTCTATAGATTTACATCAGTAAAGAACAAGATTTAGTTTGCAAAATAGGTGGACAGCGGGTTTTTTTTAAGGGAATGTTTAGGAAAGGGTCGGTTAGAAAGTATCTAGTGTTCTCTGTGGCTGAAAGTACTCAAACAGGCTGAGTGTTTGTTATTTTGTTTTATATTTGAGACTTTTCACTTGTGAAGCCTTGTGAAGACATTTACTGTTTGTTTGTTTGTTTTACAGGGACGGGGCCGATCCACATTAACTCAGTGCAGTGCACTGGCACAGAGCGCTCTATTTTGGATTGTTACTTCCAGGAAGTCCCTCCCTGGACATTCAAACACAGCCAGGATGCTTCCGTCAAATGTTATGTTCCTAAGACAGGCATGGAGACTATGGTGAGCAAAATGATTACAGTTTACTCTGATATAATTCTACATGCTCTGAAAAATATGATGACTCCTATCAGTCATGCTATCTGTATAGTAGCCCCCCCAAAATATTTGGACATTTAAGCCACACTTAAAAAGTCTTTGTATTATATGATGCATTATATAGAATTTTTTATATAAATATACAGAATATTTTTTTATAAATATACAGACAGATGTATTAGCATTAAATTAAATTTATTTTAAATAAATATGCAGATTTTAAATGTCTTTAGTGCATTATATAGCATTTATTTAAAATAAATATACAGACTTAAAAGTTTTTTTTGTTAAATGATGCATTATATGGAAATTATTTAGAATAAATATACAGGATTATAATGTATTTGCTTTATATTATGCATTATATTGCTTTTATTTAAAATAAATATGCATATTTAAAATGGTTTGCATTTAGTACATTATATGGCATTTATTTAAAATAAATATACAAGATTTAAATGTCTTTGCATTATATAATGCATTATTTCATGTGTGACAGTCCATCATTAAAGTTTTTGTATTTTTGTAGCCTAGGTGTGCCGACTTTTTTCTGTTTTCATTACAATGCATTACATTGAAATTATTTGTAATAATTTCTGGCCCTCGATTATGATTGGTCGAGTCACCCGAAATTTACTGTTAGTCACGGCTACTTGGAGACTATTGCTTTATTTTTTATATGGAATTTGTTTTATATATACACACTTTTCAAACATCACTTTAAAAGTAGTTTGTTAAACTTAATTACAAAAAAATGTCTGAAAGTAAGTTCTGAGAAAAGCTCTAGCATCATTGTTTACAGATTATGCAATGCAGTGGCATTTAGACATTTTTAAATGTGAGTTAAGTGGCCAAAAGTGTTCAAATACTGTATGTGTAGTTTTGATGTCTGTGAGCGTGTTTGCGTTTTAGGTGCGGTTGGCGGGGGGCAGGGACCCGGCTGAGGGTCGTGTGGAGGTACTCATGGAAGTGGGGGGCAGAAAGCGTTGGGGGACGATTTGCAGTGAGAACTGGGGAATAAATGAAGCCATGGTGGTATGCAGGCAGCTGGGCTTTGGTTTCGCCACACGTGCCCATCAGGTGAGACTGCCGAAGAATGATGTGTTTTCCAGTAATATCGCTCTGAATATGTCTCTTGTCTCGTTTGCTTTGGTTGCCTCAGTCTGTGTGCGTTTGAGAGCTCATGTTTAGGGGGCAGGATATTTCTAGGCAAAGTCGGTGTTATACAGTAGTTGTTTTGTGGAGGTGAAGAGGTGGGACAGGTTAACGGTAAACTGTTTTCAGACAGAATTGCAGGTACATTTGGTATGCATCCTGCACATACTTCAACTGTTTCAAGCAATACTTGAGAACAGGAATCAAGACTGTTATACTTTCAGGGCACAGTGCTTACCTTAATACTGTCTCTGTACCACATGTGCAGTGCTGTACTGCTTATGAAGCAAATCTCATAAAGAAATCATCATACTTTTCATAAAGAAAATTAAGCCTGTATATTTTTAGCATTGAATTTTATACTGATATTCATTAAACTTAATGTGGAAAAAAGTAATAATAAATATAAATAACATATTCAGTACAAATTCAGTTCAGTTTTTTCATAATAATTGGGAAATTAATGTGTTTTATTGTCATAAAAATAATGTCACAATGAAAAAAAATACATAACTGGATTACCTTATTTATGGTAATAAGCTCTAATAGGCTTATATTGACCTAAATTAGGCCAATATACAGATAAATGAATTAAATTAGGCCAATACACACACACACACACAGGTTTGTTTTTATGGTTTATGGGGACTCTCCATAGGCGTAATGGTTTTTATACTGTACAAACCGTATATTCTATTGCCCTACACCAACCCTACCCCTAAACCTACCCCTCACAGGAATCTTTCTGCATTTTTAGATTTTCAAAAAAACTAATTTTGAATTATTTATAAGCCTTTTAAATGACTGGGACACTGAAAATGTCCTCATAAATCACCTTCTCGTTGTAATACCTATGTCATACCCATGTTATTATACAAATTTGTGTCCTCATAAACCACATAAACATGCACACACACACACACACACACACACACACACACACACATACACACATTTATCTTTATATTGGCCTAATTTAATTATTAATCAATGAATTATTATTATTATTAATTAGCTAAATATTATGGTTAATTAACAAATTTATTACAAAAATAAAAATAAAACAATTTATTAAATATTTAAGTAACAAATTCTCAATTAAAACAGTTTTAGACTCATCGTAACATGAACTAGAGTGCATATCAACTTCCTAAAAAGTATTTCATGTCAATTACCCTAATAGTAAAATCTGTACTATACTGTACTGTACTATACTATACTATACTATACTAATATTACTATTATTACTATACAATACATAAATGTGTATATTACTACTTCATATGGAGACAAATAAGATGTGGCCTTCCTGTGTATAGGACACATATTACTGGCAAGGTGACCCTGCTGCAGAAGAAGTGTTGTTGAGTGGGACTCACTGTGTGGGAACAGAAATGTCCATCCAGCAGTGCCGTCGAAATGGTTACATCCACTGCCCTCGAGGAGGTGGAGCTAAAGCAGCGGGCATCACCTGTTCTGAAAGTAAGTGATTGGAATGACAAAATCTGATGCGCATTATAATTTTATCTCCACTGAATGATCCAAATGAATGAATCAACATCCTGTTTTAGCGGCACCTGACCTGGTTTTGGATGCACAGCTCGTGCAGGAGAGCGCTTACCTGGAAGACAGGCCTCTGCACCTGCTCACCTGTGCGCATGAGGAGAACTGTCTCTCCTCCTCTGCCAGCCGTATGCAATGGCCATACGGGCACCGCCGTCTTCTGCGTTTCTCCTCCCGTATCATGAACTTGGGCAGAGCTGACTTCCGTCCACGAGCCTCAAGAGAGTCCTGGACCTGGCACCAGTGCCACAGGTGAGGCTTTTCTTCTTTCTTCAGTTTTGATGTGTATACAGAATGAAACAGTAGCCTAAGTGCTGCTAGACAAATATTGTTTAATTTAGTCATCTTGTTTTATAAAAAGTTCCCCTTGTTGAGTGCATGTTGCAAAGTAGAACCCAAGGCCTTCTGTTAAAAAAATAATAATAATTCCACAATGAATTCATGGTGTTTCAGTGCAAAAATCGACATCTTATTCACTGGCTACCTGAAATCCAGTTTAACCAGGTGCTTAATGCACTCAAATAGCGCTGTATTTTGAGTATTTAAATGAAGTTATTGTTAAAATATCTTTATGCTATTATGTTAATATTTTATAATATTATATAAATAATTATTAATTGATTATGAATTTAAATAAATTTTAAACAACTTTTTATTAATATTTGTATTATTATTTTTATATATATCCAGACATACGTTGTAGTACAGCGCACATTCAGTAAGCAAGACAATTCAGGTTATTATTATTATTATCTTGTATTTGTCATACTACTCTGTGTTAAAACGCACAAAGAAGATGATGAAGGTTTAGAAAGTTTTTAATCCAACACACAGGTAATTCACAAAACACAGGGTAGAGTTGACGAGACTGAACAAAATGAACTGAAACGGAGAGAACTTAAATACAGGTGATAATGAAGTGATTAATGAGTGCACAGCTGAACATAAGTTGAACATGAGTGTCCGTGACAACAAACAAACTAAGGGTGCTTTCACACCTGGCCCGTTGTTTCGGAACCTTTGGCGCCCGGATCCGCGCCAAAACAATCGGTCCGAGATCACCTGAACGAGGTGGTCTTGGCTCGATTGAAAACGAACTCTGGAGCGGTTCGGTTGTAGTGAGAAAGCAATCCGATTTAACGGACCAACAAACCAGGCTATATCACAATGTATAATGGGTAATTATGTAAGTTCCGTGAAAAGCATTAGCTTTGTTGCTTTGTTGGAGGGCCAGAGACCAGCGGACGGCCTGCAAGTCCGCAGCAGAGGCTTGGCGAGGTCCGACTCAGGTGGAGCCGACTGACTGAGGGAGCCCAGCGAGGCCGAATGGATGATGGTCCACACTGAAATCGAGGGTGGGAGGAATGCAGGCACAGGAGTCTGGACGGGTGGAGCGGAGCCATTTAAGACCGGAAGAGGAGCTGCCCCTAAAAAATAAGTCGCGTGACATGTAGCCAAGTATGGTGTCCCATACTCAGAATTTGTGCTCTGCATTTAAACCATCCAAGAGCACACACACAGTAGTGAGTAGTGAACAGACACCCGGAGCAGCCATTTTTTGCTGCGGTGCCCAGGGAGCTGTGGGGGGTTCAGTACCTTGCTCAAGGGGCTCACCAAAGCTCCATCGGTGACAGAAATGGAGAAATAAAAAACCTTGAGAGAAACCAGGCTCAGTCGGGGGGCCAGTTCTCCCCTGGCCAGAAGAAACTAGCATGGTGTGGTTTAATTCCTGGCTGCAACACAAGTCAGATTGTGCAGAGGACTCATTTTCACTTCATTTCCAGCAATATCGTTGACTTGATTGCAAATGATTGCAAAGATACTATTTAAACTGAACTGAGCTGGATGATGACATCACTGAATTCAATGATGAACTGTTTTTAACTGAAAAATTAGTGTTTACTATTGTCATTTTGCATTATTGACACACTATTTTCCTAATTAATGCTGTTCAGTTGCTTTGACACAATCTGTATTGTTAAAAGCGCTATATAAATAAAGGTGACTTGACTTAAAGTTGACTTGACTCGTCTGGTTCTCATGGTCTTGTATCGATGGCTGTCAAGTTGATGAGGTCTTCACAGGGGATCTGTCTCTAGGGCTCATCTAGTTAACATGGTCACCACTGACATTCAGGGCTGTAGAGGTTGTCTCTAGGTGCTGATCCACCATATGGACTGGATACGGACTGGATTTGGGTGGCTATAGTGACCTTGGAATAAGAATGAAACAGATTAATATTAGCGTAGATTCCATTCTTCTTATGTTGTAACAAGTACATCGGGTGTTATGGGAAAGTTTCTTGGTTCTGGTTGACCTAATTAATGCAGCCTAACAAACCTTTAATAGATTTGAATTATAGAAATGTGATAGTGTGTTATATGTAAACCAGGTTAAAGAGATGGGTCTTTAATCTAGATTTAAACTGGCAGAGCGTGTCTGCCTCCCAAACAGTGTTAGGTAGATTGTTCCAGAGTTTGGGTGCTAAATAGGAAAAGGATCTGCCATCCGCACGTAGGGTTGTGCCGATAGACGATGCCATCGTCCATCGCCGATGGCTGACAGACATCACGATGTTGAGCACTGGTAGGTACTGCCACTACCACACATTTTACAAGATTAGATATTTGTCAGTGGTGCTCAGTATCTGCAAATCATTCGCCATTGTCCTATCAGTCATCTCTCCTTACTCTGTTTATGTGGGAAGTGAACTTTCATGTACTGTAATGTAACAGTCTACCGCTAGCAAGCAGCTAACCATGTCCTTTAAGTGGTTCCATATAACGCGTCATTTATTTTCCGTGCATTTCTGCATACGGTTTCATGCTTCAGGCACACCCCCTACCCCCCCCCCCCCGATAAGACCACCC